AATAATACTAAAGTAGTAAAAAAATGAAAGAAAAAGGAAATTTTTATCCGACGATGAGATTCAAAGGTATTCCGAGTAGTGATGCCTACGAAATCTCTAGGTGAGAAGATTTTTTTAAAATACTACCAGCGTATTGGAGTATTTATAAAAAAATTTTCAATACAGTAAAGATTTTCTTTTTTAAAAAAATAATAAATAAAAATTGATTAATAAATAAAAATATAAGTAATAAAAATAAGAAGAAAAGAAATTTAATCCAATGATGAGATTCTAAAAGTATTCCGAGTAGAGATGCTTTAAGAAATCTCTAGGTGAGAAGATTTTTTGTAAAATATTACCAGCGTATTGGAATATTTATAGAAAATCTTCAATATAATTAAATTCCTTTTTCTTCAAAATTTTAATTAAAATTAATAAAATTAATAAAATAATTAATAAAATTTTTGAATGAGAATAAAATGTGTGCATAAACACGAAAATATTTTGCATGGCATGCATAACATAATTTCTTACGAAAAGTAAATTTAGACCTCCAAAGATGAGATTCTAAAAGTATTCCGAGTAGAGATGCTTTAAGAAATCTCTAGGTGAGAAAGAGTTCTTTTAATGTTACCAACGTACTGGAACATTTTAAGAATTATTTCAATAAAAAGGTTTTGATTTATTTTTCTCGAGAATAATTTTAACAAATAAAAATCAAAGAAATTATTTTTCGAATACTGAAAATAAGACTGTTTGTATCAAAATCAAAGGATAACACGTTGTTAATTGGTACCGTTTTTTAACGGGCGTTGTGGGGGTGCTAATCCTTCCCCACGCGTAATCGACTCCCGAACCCAGACTGTTTCGCAGACCGTAAAATTATCTTTTTAATAAATTTTAATTAATTTTAAGATTTCATTAAAAGGATATGTTTTAATAGGTGGCCAATCGCACCTAGCCAAAAAAGATTGGTGGCGACTCCGTTATTTTTTATTTCGTTTCCAAATTCGTCGGGCGGACACAAAACCGTTACGACAAAATTGATCAAAATTTATAAGCATATACAAAATGATTGTCAAACTTTAAAGTTTATCATAATGATAATCCAAACATAATCCTAATGAATATACTTGAATGTTATCATAATGAAGTTACAAAATACAGCATACATCAGATTTATAGGTAGAGTAAAAACCTCAACATAATGCAGTAATCAAACAGATTTCATATAAAAATGTTTGGTTAGCATTATGATGATTTGTCAAAATAACAAAATGTCTAAATGAAGGTAAAATCTGATGAGAGGTAACTATTGATGCAGCTTTAATCTAAGTCTAGATAAAACGTAATGATGGATGTTGTGCCATTACTATCATTATATGCCTGATTTACACCGAGTCCTGATATTTTATTTTTTATTGGTATATTGTTCCTGGCTAATCTGTTAGCCCTTATCCTTTTAAGCTTTTTGATTCTCTTTTTCTTGGCTTGATTAATAGAATCCATCATTCAAAACACAACATAAAGAAAAAAAACTACTCTAAAGAACTAAGAAAAGATTTAAGCAACATTACACAGTAGAGAGTGTTACAAGGACAATACAAATATGTAAAATTAAAACCATGTTAAGAAATCCACACATTGAGTCTTACCAATTATATCTTAAAACATCTGGAAGGTGCCCTTGTGATAACCCTAAGGACTACTAGCTACAAGTCTTTAAGAGTGCATCACAGACAATTTCGCTGGAAACCTTCATGCTTTGTATTTGGACAGTGTGGTTGAACAGGAACATGTGTTATCACTAGGGGCAATGTTTTACAATCAGCAAACTGATGGGGATTGTACAAAGTATTGGGGAAGTTAGGATGGAACAGGAGTCCCAGCAGGAAGTCTCTGATATAAACCCCTAGTAGCTTTGGTAACCTCCTGAACTAGAGGAGATTAAACTCAACGTGGATACTGCGTATGTTGTCTCCTTACAAGAAACAGGACTGGGTGCGGTGTTTAGGGACAATTCGGGGAAGATCTTACCATCAGCTGCTTCTAAAAAGGCAAATATAACCCTTTAACGGCGGAAGTAAGTGCAATTCGATGGGGATTACAAATTGCTGTGGAACATGGGATGGAAAGAATACTTGTGGAAAGTGACTCTTTGATTGCTATAGAGTAAACTCTTCAAGCGACAGTCTCTTTCCTTGCAGGTTTTAATATGATTCAAGATATTAGAGAGTTAGCAACATGTTTTCGAAAGCGTTATTCCAAACATACGAACAGGAATGCAAACTGTTTAGCACATTGTCTTGCAAAGTAATATTTTCAGATAAGGGAGCAGAGGCTATGGGCATGTGACCTCCCTCCCCATATTCGTAATCCCGATTTATTTCCACAATGAATGAAGTAGTTTGGATTTCAAAAAATATATATATATTTCTTAAAACACTTCATAGATAAGAATAATTGGATAAATTGTTGTGGACTAAATGAATAAATATAACTAATAACTTCAATCATTAAGTGTTGAAAAATAATAAATGAAAGGGCATTAGCTTATTCAGTCAGATTCAAGAAAGAGAACAATCTCTCAACAATGACCATATTTAACTTCAAATGAGATAATGACTATGTAGCACACACTTACTGCTTACAAAAACAAAACCAAGTTAAATCCATGACATCAATATAAAAGAAGTATTCAAAATAGATATAGTTAAGCAAAATGAACACGGTGAAACTTACTTTCATATGATTTAAACGAAAAAATTATTCTACAAACAATCAACATAAGAAAATTTCTATTAAAGAAACCATAGAGTAACTAAAACAAACATACTTTAGACACAATCCTACCCACCTAAAATCAAACTAAAAAGAGAGCAAACAGAGTGAATACTAATAAACAGTAAAATTAGCTCCGATAAAGTTAAAAATAATAATAAATTATTTTAGTGATGAGATTAAATATTGTAACCATAATATTAAAATTAATAATGGAATATGTATTTGAATATAATCACAATAGTGGTGGTGGTGAGAGAAAAAATAGTAAAAATAAAAAATGATCATTAAAGACGTTATGTTAAAATTTATATAAAATATAAAATATTAATTATTTTACATTTATAAAATTAATAAATAATTAAAATTACTAGAATTAGTTTTATTTCAAACAATAATTTTATTAATAAATATTTAAAAACTAATAAAGTTGACGATAATATATAAAAATGATTTTTTAAAAATTGATAATAATTATTTTTATATTAAAATTTACTTCTTTTTATTCAAAATAAAATTTTAAAAAATGAAAAGAAATGAAAAAAACTTTTAAATAAAAAATCGAAAAAAAAGGACAAAAATAAACTAAAAACATCTTCATTGCTACATTAAAATCTAAAAAAAAAAAGAACAACATGGGCTTATTCGGAAAGATAAGGTTAATTGGTGATGAGTTTTTTTTCACTGAAGCTTGAAGCACCAGTTAGATTTAGAAGTGTAAATGCATCATATCTCAATACCTCGTAATTATCAGGTTCAATTTCAAAAGAAAATTAAATTCCGGTTCGATATTTATCGAATCAAGTTCAAGCTCGAGTAGCTCGACTTATCGATCGAGTTAATTCGAGTATTCTTATATCCGGTTCGAGTAGCTCGCGAGCCTAATCGAGCTTTTATTTTAAATATATTTTATTATTTTAATTAATAAAATATTTCGAGTCCGAGTTCAAGTTCGAGCATGAATAATCTAACTCTTGTCAAGTATACGAATCGAACTTATTTTTATATATTAATTGAGCTTAATCGAACGAACTCGAGTAACTCGAATTCGATCACGAATCGAACTCGAACTTGAAAAATAAAATTCGATCGAGTTCGAATTGAGTATCAAATTGTGAGTCAAATTCGAGCTCAAATTTCTTACGTATCAACTCGATTCGATTTACACCCTAATTAGATTTTAGAGCTGCGGCATGGTGAATGTGCATTACCTCACCATTCATGTAAGCCAAATGTATTTTTTTGCACTGTGCAATGCAGTTGGCACAAATTTTTATGGTAAATACAGTTCCGTTTCAATCTAAATGTAGCTTAAGAATTAGAAACAAACTAAGCCTACCAACAATATACATAAAAAAAAAAAAGGTTAAACTTTGTTAAAAAAAAAAAAAAAAAAGAACGCACCTACTATAAAATAGATGCTAAGAAGAGCTTAGAGGAACAAACGAAAATGAAAAAGAAAAGCTTAGAGAAATTTAGAATCTGAAACATATGAGCTATAAAAAATTAACATTAAAGTAGCCTCTACAATGGGTTATGCAATTTACAACTAAGATGCATTGCGATCGTTGTTTTTCTTAGCATGAAAAAAAAGTATCAAGAGACATACTTATGACGTCAATGAAAAAAAAAAAAGAAAAAACTAAACATAACAAATATAATTGATTATTCATTCTTCAAAACCAAACATAAAAAATTAACTATTTGAGCATTATTTATAAAACTTGAATTTCAATAATTATTATTATTCGAAACTAAACATAAACACTACTTGTAATTACTCTATTTAAATTTAACTAATATAATATGTTTTATAATTAAACAACGAAAACTAATAAAAATTAAAGCTGCAAAGACCAATGCTGAACAAATAAAGAATAATTAGAAAAGCCAATCGTGTCTTGACAGATGTGATTGAAATAATTGTGATTATTTTCGATTGATTGTATCGATCATACAGGTAAGTTAAAAGTTTGACACACGTGGAAGTAAGACCTGTTCTTGGGCTGGAGAGTGGACTACAGATGTGGGGTGGGAACCTTTCTGTCGTGCCCATCCAATCCAGTACCTATCTAAGCTAACCCAAACCCACCCGTTTCAACAAAAGAAGTACTAAATGGGCTGCGTGCCTGCTCATGCCACTCAATGGGCAACAAATTTTTAAACCCAATTTTTAATGGAACGAGTTGGGTCCATAATGATCCGAACTCGGATCCATAAACTAAAAGGCACACACTAATTCCACTAACCCCACTAAAACCCTGGTCCGGCCGTCTTCCTTTAGCAATCCATTCTCAGTTCTCACAGCCAAAACCCTAATCTTGGACCCAACAACAGAATCAGAAAGAAGAAGAAGATGAGACATCCGTGGAGGTTTCTTCTCTTCCGAACCTACTCACGATCTCCTCTCCGAGTTCCCACCATGTCCCAGGTACTCCCTCCTTCCATTTCTCCTCCTCCTCGTATTCACTCGTTCCACAACATTTCTTCACATTCCCATTTCAAAAACCCCTTCAACATGATGAAAGAATTATCCATGTTAAATTACAAAAGCACCCTCATCAATCATTATAGTTTCTCATCCGAGGCAGCCGTTGAACAGAAAGACCCAGATCATGTTTTGGTAACTGTGACTGATATTTTTACTAGATTTAATGATGGGAATGATATAAAGAAAGAATTGGAGTTAAATGATGTTGGTTTTAGCCATGAACTGATTTTGAAAGTGTTAAGGGATGTTGAGTCTCGTCCTGACGTGGCAAGAAGGTTTTTTTATTGGGTTTCGGAGAATGATGGGGAGAGATTAAGCTCCAAGTCGTATAATCGGATGTTATGTATTTTGGGTGTCAATGGGTTGGTTGAGGAGTTTTGGGGTTTGGTTGATGTCATGAAGAAGAAAGGGTATGGTATCTCTGGTAGCGTACGCGACAAAGTTGCAGTTAAGTTTGAGAAAGAAGGGTTGGAGAGCGATTTGGAGAGATTGAGAGGGGTTTTTGCGTCGGGATCAGTGGATAATTCGATGGGAAAGGTTTGTTCGAGGGTGTGTAAGATTATTAGGAGCCAGCTGTGGGGGGACGATGTTGAGAAGAGGTTGCGTGATCTGAATGCTACATTTTCGAATGATTTAGTGAAAATGGTATTGGAGAATCTTGCTTCGGAGCCAGCAAAAGCTTTGATATTTTTCCGGTGGATTGAGGAGTGTGGTTTGTTAAGGCTTGATGAGCACAGTTATAATGCTATGGCGAGGGCTTTGGGGAGGGAAGATTGCATTGATAGGTTTTGGAAGGTTGTTGATGAAATGAAAAGTTTTGGGTATGAAATGGAAATGGAGACTTATGTCAAGGTTTTGTTTCGTTTTTGTAAGAGGAAGATGATTAAGGAAGCTGTAGACTTGTATGAGTCTGCAATGGCTGGTTCCAATAAGCCTTCTGTGAGTTGTTGTACCTTTCTGCTGAGGAAATTAGCAGTGAGTAAACAGTTAGACTTGGGTCTGTTTTCAAGAGTTGTGAGGATTTTTACGGAGAGTGGGAATGCCTTGACAGATTCTATGGTTGATACGGTTCTCAGATCTTTGACAAGTGTTGGTAGACTTGGAGAATGCAACAAGGTTCTAAAAGTAATGGAAGAAGGTGGGTTTGTAGCTGGTGGTAATTTGCAGAGTAAAATTACCTTTAGACTTGCTAGCACTGGTAAAAAAGATGAAACTGCTGAGTTTATAGATCATGTTGCAGCATCAAATACTAATTTAGATCACAAGGCATGGGTGTCTTTAATTGAAGGGTGTTGCGCTGGTGGAGATCTTGAAGCAGCGTCAGCTTATTTCGAAAAAATGATTGAAAAAGAAGGGGTCTCTCATGCTGGCTACGCGTTTGAATGGTTGGTATATTCTTATTGCAGTGGGAAAAGAGCGACAGATGCATGCCAGCTTCTACATAAGTACGTTAGTAAGAATCAGTTAAGGCCACGGCATGCTACCTACAAGGAATTGATAAGGAAGTTATTGGCTCAAGGTGGATTTAAAGATGCTTTGAATCTCTTGAGTTTGATGAAAGATCATGGTTACCCACCCTTTGTGGATCCATTCATTGAGTATGTATCGAAGTCTGGAAGTAGTGATGACGCTATAGCCTTTCTCAAGTCTATGACATCAAAAAAGTTTCCATCTACGTCAGTGATTCTCCGTGTTTTTGAAGCCTTTTTAAAAGGTGCAAGGCAAAATGAAGCGCAAGATTTATTGTCAAAATGCCCAGGTTACGTTCGTAACAATGCAGATGTTTTGAATCTCTTTTGTTCTTTGAAATCTGGCCAAGTTGATACTGCACCTCCTGTGGTTGCTTAGGCTTCATTGGCTGTAATTCACATTGATGTACTATGGCATATTTTCCAAAAGTTTGGCATGAAATGTTCTAAATCAATCATTCAAATCTGTTGCCCTCTGGCAAATAAAAACCAAGATATTCAAGGGTTTTATGATTTTTTTTTTCCCTATTAGTGCTTTTCTATTGCATATGGTAGTCAATTTTAGGTCAAAGACTTCAGTCTAGAGAGGGTTTCCTCAAATTTGGATCGGACTGATACTTCATATCAGTAATTCATGAATCAGGTCATATTAATAATTTATTTACTTGGTTGAGCAAATCCAATGATTTGAGCTTTAAAATTTTTTCAAGCCCGACTCTAATTGTAAAGTTGTTGCATCTATGGAGTAGCACAAAGAAAGAAGATAACTTGCCAATCCAGATATCATACCAAACACAAAAAGAAATCAAAGTCCCCCAGGGTTTTTTTTTATATATTCCCTGCAGAGCCGTCGCGGTTGACCGTGCACTAGAATTTTGTATTCTTTCAATTTCCCCCTTCGTCAAAACTTTTGAAAATATTTCAATAAGCCCCTTCAATTTTTATATCCCCGCGCCTCCCCTCAAAAAAGAAAAATAAAACCCTCAAAATTTGGCAGACCACCGCGTTGGATCGACGCTCAAAAACAAAACCACAAAGCGCCCTTCGTACCACATAAATACATTTTTGTCAAACAGATATCTTTCCCCTTTATCTCTTTCTAGATTTTGAATCCAGATCCACCGCCATCCCCCAAAATAAACCAAAAAAAAAAAAAAACCCCCTCTTTTCCTTTCTCATCCAACCAGCTTTGCCATTGCCTTTGTTTTCTCTTTCTCTTTTCTTATAATAAATAATCAAATGAGGAAAGGAGCTAAGAGAAAAGCCGCCAGCCAGAAACAAGAGGAGAAGGAAGTAAAAGCTTCGTCTTCTTCACAAGAGAATCAGAAGGCGAACCATAAACTTGCTTCCAAAGCTAAGCGTTCCAAGACCTCCAAGCCCCAGCCAGAGCCTGAGTACTTCGAAGAGAAGCGTAACTTGGTATAATATTTCTCCGCATTGTTTTGTTTTATGCCCTTTTTTATTTATTGATTCCAACTTTCAAATTTGTTGTTTAGGATACTAATTTCTTTTAAATTAGGGTTTGTCTTCTATGAGTTTAATGTTTTGGTTTGTACAACATCTGAATAAATACGAGGTTAAAAGATTTAGGTTTGTAAGGCCTATTCCTCAATGCTGTTGACTTTTTCAACTTAAGTTTTGAGCTGTTAATTCGGGATAACACCGCAGTGTTTAAGCTTCTTATATTAAGTAAAGTTTAATGTTCATAATGGATACAAATTTGGAGCTGAAATATTGTTTATTGAGATAATTAAATGAGGTAAAGTCTTGCTTTGTTATTGTTTTCTAAATCCGTTGTTATGAAAATTGCCAATTTGCATTGTGCAGGAAGATTTATGGAAAGCTGCGTTTCCTGTTGGAACAGAGGTTGGAATATTGAGTTTTGCATGTTGAATTTTGGTTCGTCTGTTTTATGAATTTAAGTGCTGTTGCTTACATTTCGTTTTCCTTTTGTCATATGGTAGTGGGATCAATTGGACACCGTTTACCAATTCAACTGGAACTTCTCGAATCTAGAAGTGAGTTGCAGGATTTTTTTTTTTTTTGCATTCTCTTTTCTCATTTTTAATTGCTAGTTGCTGCTTTTGTTTTGCCCTGGTCTAGAGCTAACTGGATTTTTTACTGTTCTGTTTCTGGTCAGGATGCATTTGAAGAGGGGGGAAAGCTATATGGACAGAAAGTTTATCTCTTTGGTTGTACGGAGCGTAAGTAGTTCACAGCCTTGGTCCTGGTATTTTGTGCCTTTATACAGACACTTTGCCATTTCTTGAGGGGAGAAAATGGGTTTTTATGCCATTGGCTGCATTACCTCTCTCGATCGTGATGTATTTTTTACTGTGAAAAAAAAAAGAGAAAGAGTTTGTGTGTTAGGTTTTAGATTTGAGCTAAGTTCCCATGGGTTTCTTTCTTGAATCATGTAGTTTCAATTTCTTTTGACTTTCCTTCTTGTTCATCCATTACACTTTATTAATTTTAGTTATGTTCTATTTGTGCAGCTCAATTGGTCCCTTACAAGGGAGAAAACAAAGTCATTTGTATACCTGTGGTTGTGGCTGTAAGTTGCCTAACATTGTTGTGAAGTGATTTTAATGGTTGTCATACTAAATTGATTCAACGGATGTTTCTTTCTTCTTTTTCTTGTGATGAGTGGGCTGAGTGATAATAGAACCTTTAAGCATCTTTATTTGCTAAAGGTTTATTGAATATTATCTTTATGTGGCTTTGAAGTTATATATTCCCTTGCTGGTCTTAACATTTTACTCTGAACATTTTACTCTGACGGTTCAGTGTGGCTGTTCCTTTAAGGTGCAGTTGTCAAGCTTAGAATTGCAGAACTTGGGGCCTCTTGAATAAATGGGTTTCTTTACTTAACGTCATCACCTCTGTAGGTGTGGACGGGATTTTGTCACACTGGCTTTTGATGACCATCTCAAAATGCATGTTATGGAGCATTCCATATGATTTATTTAGTGCAAAACTATTTTCTTTTGATGGAAAGAGTTAATAGTAATGGTCCAGAATGTTGAGAGTTAAAATCTTCCTAACTTCAGTTAGCTTTCTTTTATAATTAATAAGTGGCATCTTGGTTGTTTATGTCAGGTGTTTATTATTTTCTACGACTGCAATGACATAATTATTAATGGTTTATGAGATTGATTTGTTTTAAATAGTTGTTTCCACCATCATCTGGTTGTATCTTCTTACTGATTAATCTTTGACTTTTGGTGCTTCTTTCAGGTTGTGTCTCCTTTCCCACCTTCAGATAAGATTGGAATTAACTCGGTGCAGAGAGAAGCTGAAGAGATTGTTCCCATGAAACAAATGAAAATGGATTGGGTGCCATATATTCCACTTGAGAATAGGTACCCAGTTTTTATCTTTTTTCTTTTGATCAGATTTAAGGTTAATCTTTAATATTTAAGGGGTTAATTTAATTTAATTTATCTATATAGTAGGCCAGTTGATAAAATGAGTTATTATCTATTTTTTGTTTTTATTACTTTTGAATTTGAATTGATTTAAAATCAATCTTTGAGGTGATGGTATTTAATTCCTTTACAGAGACAGCCAAGTTGATAGACTGAAATCTCAAATATTCATCTTAGGCTGCACTCAAAGAAGGTATAGTTGTGCACGCTAACACTTACAATCCTCTTTAGTTTTTTTTTTTTTTTTTTCTCTTTTGCATGAGATTGTCAACTAGATTCCATCACTGTGTCTTTATTTCAACTGCTTTTGTCTGAGATTGTTAACTTGGGTCATGTATGCTTCTTTTGGTTCTCTCTGAAAAATTTGCTATATTATGGTAGACTTGTATGTTGAATGTGCATGCTGGGGTGGTGGTTAAGTGTTGGAATCAGGTTTGCTTTTTCAGAGAATTGTCAATGTATTCTGTCAGCTTGTTGTTGTGCCAATACTTACAAAGTACACCAGATGAAGTGCTGAGACTTCAGTCCTACTTGTTGAAAATAACGATGTATTAGAAATTTGTGGCCATCCACAGAGGCTTGAGTGCTTTTTTATTAATGTGCATTTCTCATTTTTTGACTCTTCTAGGTTTGTGGTTTCCTTTTGAAATGTTCATGCATGGAGAACGGTATTTAGTATGTCTCTATATATGAGCTAAGCTGACCATTTGATACTTATTTTAAATAATTCATAAATTTCTGTCTTGTATAGATTGTAAAATTATTTCAGTGCAAGCTTACGGACTTCAAATTTGTTTCTCTAGTTATATCATCTCTCCCTGAATGTGGGTGTATATATGTTTTTTGAATGCATGCATGTATTTCGGGTTAACCTGTTGCATTTGAAATTCCTTTTGCAGGGTTGCTCTGAAACAAATGAAAATAGATCGTCTCAAGCAATACGAGTATTGTCTGCCTTGTGAGTTCTCTAGATATCTTTGGATGTTAAATTGCTGGATTATGCATTAGCATCACAAGTCTTTTGCTTGTTTTGATGACTTGTCAAAGAGGAAGTTATGAAAATATTAAAGAAAAAAAAGGAGAAAACCCCTTATTTGTTGCTATGTTGTTTGGCATGCCTCTATTGACAGATTTCTATCAGCCTTTGAAGGAAGATGAGCTTGAACAAAGCACTGAGGTTCAAATAATTTTTCCAGCCGAATCAAAGCCGGTAATGTTTTCATATTTTCTAAAAAAATTAATTATAACTGACACCGGAGTTTCTGGATATTAATGGGTGGATGGAGTTTGTTTTAGAGGTTGAGCTTATCATGTTTTGATAAATGAACTGTTGCATTCAATATGGTTAGAGCCACCATTTTAAGGCTCAAGCACAAAAAAAGGTGCTTGCATGAGTGAAGCAAAGAGCTAAGAGGTAGAAAGGTTAATTCACATCATTCAAATGTGCTAATGTACTTATTTATCTATGATACTCCAACAGTTAAAACTTCTAGGTTTGAAGTTCAAACCTTGTGGAGAGTGGGGTTTCCACCTGTAGCAATGGATCTTTTATACTTTAAACTTGAAGTATGGATGTGCCATTAATAAGTGTTGAAAAGTAGGCTTTACTCCTTTCCCTGATACGGAGATCAAGCATTACTAAGCATCATTACTCTAGCTCTTGAGTTTCCTTCACTCATGGACATAATTCATTTGTTATTTTTGAATTGTGAACTGTCCTTCATCAAGTGAAAATATATTCATTAAAAGAAAAGAACTGGAAACAAAAAGGAAGGTTATTTGAGGTATGCCTTGCACCTTAATAAAGTACCTTGATTGGAGGGGCCTGAGGTGCTTTTGCTAGATTGTATTGTGCTTTAGCGTCTTGGCACTCCTGACTACACTGCTTGTAAGGCAGCTATTCTGCAAAATATTATGTAAATTGATACATCATTTCTGGTCTTGCAGGTCTTTGTGAATTTGATTGGGAGTTGGATGAACTTGATGTAAGACTTAACTCTTTCATTTTTTATGTTGCAGTCTAATTAGCATGATTTTTTGTGAAGTTTGAATTATGTGAACTGGTAGCTTGGAATTGTGTGGGTTTCAGCTATTTATGCATTAGACTTTAGTCAATCATTTTAAGCTTTGGCTTTTTTATTTAGTCCTCATACGAGTTTGGTTCTAAACTATATCTACCTATTTTCAGGAGTTTAACTGATAAACTGATCGAGGAAGAGGAATTAGATAAAGATCAGAAGGATGCCTTTAAGGTGAAGTTCACTTGAAGATCCACTGATAAATTGTGGATTTTATGTATTTCTAACTACTAATTCAACTTGATATGCTTTTGGTTTGTAGGAGTTTGTCAAAGAGAAAGTTCGAGAAGCAAAGAAAGCTAATCGGCAGGTATGTTGTTGGCAACATTACTTTTTGACTTGTGAAAAAATATTTTGCTAGGGAGCATGAATTTGGATATGCTGATTAATTTGGCCGATTCCATTGTTATAGGCAAGAGAAGCTCGCAAAAATGCCCTTGAAGAAATGAGTGAGGAAACTAAAGCAGCATTTCAGAGCATGAGATTTTACAAGTTTTATCCTGTTCAAACTCAGGATACTCCTGATGTATCAAATGTTAAGGTAAGGTTTTATTAATTTCTGCTTTATAAGCCTTTTCTTTTTTTCTTTAAAAAAATGTATTAATTTTTTGGTAATTATTTAATTTGTTAAATGAAGCCTTATAACAAGTTTGAACATATTGCTTCATGAGTACTTATTGTTTCTCATACAGAAAGGTATTTATATTAGTTGTGAGCAGATTTTTCTTATAGGTAGTCATGGTGTTCTCATCAGAGCTTGTTACATAATAAACTAAGGCTTTTTGATTTCTTGGGGCATGCTATCAATGATAGTAGTGATCACATGGTGTGATTTAAGTTTCTGAATTGTAAAGTTGGATAAGTTTATTTTGTCCGGATTTGATGGTGGCATGGTTTAATCAAATATGCTGGAGCACTTGTAGTTGGATTACTTTTTTCTTCCCAAAGTTTTGGATTTTTCTCTGGAAAATCAACTGAATTACTTGCTCCCTCTGTTCCATATTGTATTCTATCTTTCTCAATCTTTGGCTTGTCTTTGTCCTCTCAATTTCCAGTAGTATACTGTTTGGCGAGAAGATCCTAGCGAGTCAATCTCTTTTTAACCAGATATGGCATAACAACTGGAACATCATGTGGATTTACCATGGTGGTTATAACTCCTTCAAATAGTTATTGATGTTAGTTGTAATGAAGAAGTGAAAGCATTAAAGTGAACATTGCTTAGTAAATTTCGATTAATTTTCATGCCACTTGTTGAATTTGAATTTGAATCATAAGCATAACCAACTTCACTTTGTCTTCATGACAATTCTAAGATATATTTGTATATTTCATGATGTGAAGTTTGTCAATAGCATAAATTATCTTTATTCTTTATGGTGTAACAACTCTATATCAGTTACTAGTCCAGTAAGATCATGCTTCAGGAAATGTCATCTTTAGGAATCCAGATGTCACATTTAATAACTGTATGATTGGTAATTTTACGATTAATTCTTATCTTTCTTTGGTGGTTCTGTGTTGCAGGCTCCTTTCATAAACAGGTATTACGGGAAGGCTCATGAGATTCTCTAACGGAGCTTTCTTCAGGATCTATTTTAGTTGAAGAGATGCTCCACAGCCTGCTTAGGCTCCCAAGAGTGTCTACGATTTGTCTGTTACCAGGAAGCTTTGGAAGCATGCCTTTGATGCCCCATCATGGCCAGGTGTCTTATGAGAAAGATTTAAACTTATAGCTCCATAACTTTTTAGATAATTAAAACAGGTGCTCTTGCGACAATAGGAGGAATTTGTACAATACTCTGTTGAGGCCCTTTTTTTTTTTCAAATTTTTGAAGGATTTCTTAAAGCTTAAGGTGCTAAAACTCCCCCTGCAGCTTGAGTATATCTTGATTTTACTCGTCCCCTTAGCGATCTTTTGTTCCTACTTACTGTAATAGTAGTATTATATGACAATTCAATTGTAATGAACAAAATCAATGAAAAACCAGCCAAATACTCCATCTTAAATCTTTGAGAATCCTCTGGGAATCTCATGGTTTTTGAATGCTCTATGTTTGTACAAGGTTCACTGAGGCTTTTCAGGCATCGGATGGTCGATATCAGTGTTTTGAAGCATCATAATTTCGCCAAGAAACTAGTTCATTTTGACGTATTATGTGGTGGTGTATCTAAAATTTATGAATTGCAACTTGGTGCGTTCGGGGCTGGGAAATGTTTAGAAAAGGACCAGAAATTGTATTCCTCAACAGAATATTTTAACGCCTCATATCAATGGTCACAAAATCTGAGTTTTGGCTGTGGCAGAAGTAGATTTTGAGAAGCTGAGTGAACGATGGATATATCCAACGGTGGCGTGAATGACGCATCAACAAGTGAGATAGTCATGAGTTCGGCCTTTGCTGGAACATCGGAGGACTCTCGTACATCTGAATGAACAAAGATCTATGCACTCTCGGGAAGAGAAACTGAAAAGTTGGTTTGAAGATTTCTAAAAATTTAATGGACTTCCATCAAAGTTCCATTGCTATCAGCAGAGAAACTCGAGCATGCACTCAAGTTCGAAGGAAGAATCAAGTATCCAGGACGAATGAAAACCATTTACTGGCATGAAATTATCATCATAATTACACAAGCACGTTACTTTCTATGTTCTTGTCTAATCATGGTTTTGAACTAGCTCAGATAAATAATACATAAACACGCACACATGCATGAAAATTCAGCCATTCATGATCCTTGGACTGCAACCCTTCCCTGCTGCCTTGCATGATTACTTGCAGGAAATTTCGGAGAGCAGCATATATGAATACCCAGATGAGAAAATTTTATTCAGTCTAATAATATATAGGAAAAAAAATGTTAGGTAGATATCAGCTCACCAGCAACAGCATCCATGCCATTGATGACAAACGGAAAGGTGACGCAGAGAGAGAGAGAGAGGACCTGTTCTGTCAGTGAAAAAGGAATGAGGGGCAGATCTTTCTTTCTCCCCAGATGATTGAATCTCTTTTGATCACAAAGGCAGAAATTCCTCATATCAAGAAGCAAAATCCTTAAACAGAAGGCAGCAACTGTTTTCATAATTTATATAACTTAATTCATAATGTTAAATGTACAATAGTTTGACAACAAAATACAGTCCAATGATGCCTACTGAACCTCAACTTTTTTGTAGGTAAGAAACACCTGCTGGACGTGATCCTCTACAGGAGGGGGAAAATAAATGGAAGAAAAGAACCAATAAATTACCCCAACCAAGCCCACAAAATTACTGTCGGCACTCTGACATCTAGTCCAAAATAACTACTTCAAAACTCTAACAACCTCACAAGCACTTTAGATTCCTTTATCATCATCTAAAACCAACAGCAAGAAGTGATCTTTCCACTCACTCAGGTTCACAGAAGGCATAAGACCGCACAATAAAGGCAGAATCAAAAGCATAACTGAATAGAATACTGATCTTCGAATCCAGTATGGAAGCAATGTGCTCTGTTTCATCCTTGTGATACGTTAACAGGTCCACAAAGAGTGAAGAACAAAACCAACGTAAAGACATTTAAGAGGAAATGCAACATGCATAGAATCTCCCAGTAGGAAAGCCAATAATATTCTTTTCCTCCCAAAGTATCTATGCAGAACTTCCCAGCCAAACCACAGGCAATTCCTAATAGCAACAGTATGACAGTGACTGGCATCGTCTGCTTTGAAGTTGCTGAACGCTGTATAAGCAAATAAGCTACTGCAAGAATCATCAAGACACCAAACATCATTTGGCTTACACTTGAACTGTCACTTGAGAGTGTGGAACCTGAAAATTGAAAGATGCCACCGGCTTTGGGACCCACAGGACCTGGTTTCCTGAAAAAAATAAAAAGTCAAACCATCATATAAATTTGGGAAAGGTTTAAAACAATATTAGAGGGGAAACATCACGAAGAGAATATAATTTATTATGAATGGTGTGATAATGTGAGGCACCTAAAAGCAAAAAGATAAATATTGGAACAGATATTTATCTAGAACAGAACATGGCAACAGATGAATATTGGAGATGTAAACATGCATCAAGCCTAAAGATTAATTGTTGTTACCAAAATTTAGAAAGACAAACACCATATGGTATAAGGTGGGCAGTCTCTATAAAAGAAATTTTCCTACGTCTCATTCTTGTCCAAAGTGCAACTTGACACTGACATTAATTCCAGAAGCTTTAACCATTCATTTACTCCATAAACCACAGACTCAATTCCCACAGGCCTAAAGGCTACACAAATTTTCCACATAGAGTTATAGAGTAAGCAACTATCATAAATTCATTGAAAATACAGCATTAGAAGATAAATTTTTCATGTGGTGTTGTTGAGGAATACCTTTCATGGGCTTGAGAAACTAGTTAAGGAGATAATTACCAACTCATGAATCAATATTAAGAGGCACCTAATCTAATGCTCAAACATATCAAAAGAACATCAAAAACATTGAACTTCTAACGCTCAGAAAATCTTGGCAGGCAATTGATCAACTGATCCAGGAAAGGAAGATCACTCTTACCTCAAGTGAAGGACTACAAGATGATGTAGCATCGGTAATCCTTTTTGTAAGAGTAAACATAAGCACATAATAAGGAAGAATGACATGATGAGCAACCCAGCAACAAGACAATCAATGCACCTTTTAAGCAATTCAGCATGTTTTTGTTTCTTCTAGCTGGTTCTTGAACTTTTCAGCTTTAAAGGATGCCTTTGATATACCCATTGCTAATTTTGATCTCTCCAAATGGTTTGAATCAAAGTTTAGAGCTAGCTGTTCCTCTTTCAACTTCAACTTTTTCATAGTAAGACCAAGCTCTAATGTCTTGAGGTCATTACAACGAACTTGCTCTATAACAGATTTATCAATTGTGCTAAGCAGTGACTGGTTTACAACAGAACTTGTGCTTCAGTTGACACAAGCAAGTCAATTCACTTGTCCATGTATGGCAAGTTCCCGATTCAGGAAATCAACTGGGATATTCTCCTGTACCTCTTCATGGATATTCAATAGATTCTGAGTTGCAATGGAAGGCAGCTCGACTTCTGATTGAGAATCCTTTATATCAGAAGAGCTTCTATAACATCCACTTCTGCTTGAAGTTCCATCTGAAGTAGACCTTTCCACATTATTGGGGTTTGATAGAAACTTTTCCTAGTGCTCTGGATGACTCATTAATCAATCTAAGAGTCCTCAAGGTGCTTCCCAATGATTTCTCAAAATTCCTCACAAAACAATCAAAATTGTCTCCCAAACCAGTGGCCAAGTGGACCATAGAAGCAAAAGGCATGTGGTCAATAAGTATCTTCGATAGTGTGATGCACATAAAAAGACATGAGGAAACTCAACTCGTAAAATGAGAGTCAGTTGCCGAGTCAGCAGTTTAAAGTCCGGCTTATATGCTAAGATTCCCTGATAGCTGAAGTGCAGATCTGCAAGCATGAAGATTGAACTAACTTTCTTAACAAGCAAGACATTCTTAACTTCGGTAAAAACAAACCAGCTATCATGAGCATCCTGTCAGAGAATTAGGAGAATACCACTGAGAGATAATCAGAAGGCAGCCTTTCATTTGTGACATCTATCTTTTCCAGAACCTGGAATTACAAGGAACGAATCAACCAACAATTAATGTGAGATATTTACAAACTGAAGAAAAGTATAAGAATTGCCTTTCAAAAAATGTAGCCCTTTTTCTAATAGAGGGAGAGGGGATTCAAACTACCTTGACCCCTCCACTGCATGATAATAAACCAACTACGCAAAGTTTGGATTGTTTAATGACTATAGCCAAAACAGATAAAATAGGGAGTTGCATGGCAGACAGATAGAAATCGTTTCAGAAACTGTGTAAACTATAAATGATAAATCTGGCATAAATATTTTACAAGTACAAAAATATATGAATTCACTAACAAACTTCTATACTAGTCAGCAGAGATTATCGCCATCAAAAAATTAAAACAATTTTCGCAAATTGTCAAATAAAAAACCAAAATTTAACTTCAAAATTTCCTAACTAAAACAAAAACCCTACATTTACAACATAATTCTAACAATGCCCTCTCAAAAGGTTCGAATTTTCAACTGAAAATCAACATTTCTATCATATGAGAACCCATACATAATCAAAACTTCACCAATTTTCCATTTACATAGGGGTTAAAAAAAGTGTAAAAAATAACAAAAAGAAAGAAAAAGATTAAAACTTGATCGAACCTGAGCAACAACAGCCGCGAAGGAATTCCCAGAGGAAGCGCAATGACCTCAACGTCAGGAACCTCAGCTCACCGAACCAGACCGGGCCGAACCATTCGAGTCCGGCGTTTGATTGATACGCGCGTTCCTCTCTGAATAGAGGAAGAAGAACAAGCGGAGCAAGAAGAAGATCAGTGTGCCTCTTTAAAAATTGTTTTCTTCATTTTTCTTTATGTTGATGAGGGGTTTTTGAGATAGAAAATGATTTTGGACCGTTGAATTCGAGTCATAGTTAGGTGGTATGTAGACGTGCAAGCAGGGGACCCGTACGGTTGCAGAGAAAGGGTAGAAGAAGAAAGATCGTCCATTACAATAAACTTCTAAAGCGTAAATTTTGAATATCTCCTTTATTGTAATAAAAACGGTAAGAAGCGGCGTTGAAACGACGCCGTAAGAACATTTGAATTTACCGTCTTGTGTTGTAAACGGTTGACTGTTGTATTATACGGCGTTTTGGCCCTTCTTCGGTAAAAAAAATAGAATTATAAGTTTCGTATTTTTTACTGTATAAATAAAACTATAATTTTTTTTTTATTTTTCTACATTTATAATTATAAAACTTTTAAAATCAATAAAAAAAATTCAATTATAATAATCGAAGACTAATATTTGTTGTCTGATACTATTAGCGGAAACTAACATTTGTTATCTGACAGTATTAGCAAAATGTGATAAGTCATAATCAATATTTTGTTATTTCAATTAGATTTTTTATAGAATAACTTAAATTATAAAATAACTTAAAAAATTATTTGAATTGGATTTTTAATTTATTTTAAAGGTTTATAGTTATAATTATTTAAAAAAAAATTGTTTTATTTACAACATAATAAAAAGTTAGGGACATGATTTCATTTTTTTTTTATTGAAGTTTAAGGGTTTTATTTAGATATTGAACCAGAAAATGCAAATTTTTTTCTAAAAATAAGGTGAAAACTTTTTAATTAGAGTATAGATGATAAGAAATAATTTTGATAATTTTTTTTTAAAAATATTATATTAAATTACAATTTAAAAATATAATTTTTAAATATTTAAAATTTAAAATTTATAAATTTAAAAATAATAATCAAAATAAAGTTCGTTTATATAAAAAAATAAATAATTGACATACATTGAGACGAAATTTTTTTTTTGTTAGCGTCTCCATTGTCATAAATGCCGTAAAAATGTTGGTTTAGGTAGTTTTGAAAAAATTATTCACAAATCGGATCTATCTAATGATATATTTAAAAATTTATTCAAAATCCTTTGAAATATTTATTCAAAATTCAATTTGGTCTGTTCATTTAAATTCATTTAAGTCCATCAAATTTAAAATTTATTAATAAAATATTAACAAGAATTTATATTAATATTTTAAAATTAAAATTAATAAAAATAATTATTTTATAATAAAATAATTTTACAAATTAAATTGAACTCAAACTTAAAATTTTTTTATCTAGTGATTAATCCATGTGAAATTAAGCCTACGTAAATATTTTTTTTAAATTAATTACATATTCAGATGATTAAGAATTTAATATTATACTCTCTCTATCCCTTATTATATATCCACTACAAATTTGCACAAATTTAAAAGAAAACTCAAGTTCATTTTTATCCTTTCACTTTTTTTTAGCACAAAAAAATATTTGTAAATCTTTTGACGCATGCCAACTTCCTAACCGAAACAAAATTCCTAAATTTTTCCCACTTATTGATTAATTCTCAGCCAATTTTCTTGAGGTAATTAATCATTATAATCATGATGTTTTAACTTTTAATGGTAACCAAAACCACCAAGAAACAGAGTAATCTGATAAGTAATCATATTTGCAAATTATCTACTATTCTCAGGCATTGAAAAGCTCCTTACGGTCCTTAGCAGCTTCTGTTAAAGCAAGGAACCTCTTGAACCCCGTTGAAGCAGCACCACGTCCATGAGCAGCTGCTTTTGTTAACACATCCTCTCTAGAAGCTATAAATCCAACTGAAGTAGGATTTGAAAACGATTGAACTGTAGTGGCAGGAGAGGCAAGAGGCATTGTTTGGCCAACTGGTGTCAAACTCGAAGGTTGTGAGATTGTCGGTGCACCTTTGTTGAAGTCATCTAATATACTTTGTTGGTAAGATTTCTTGAGGTCCTTGAGCTCTAGAATACGCTGGAATTCTATTAGTGTTCCTTCAGGTAGCAATGCGCGGTATGCATCCGCAACAGAATACAGGAGATAGTATAAACTTCAAAAAGTGCTTCAGCTTTGCTCATCTCTCGACTTACAAATTTTGATTAGCCAACAGCACCAGATGTCTATCGACCAAGTGAAGGAATTTCCAAAATAATTGTCAGCTTGCGTACCTTTTGGCAAGAGGATAGCAGAAAAATAGCACCAAATGTCTGTCGACCAAGAGGATAGCAGGTCAACTGGCCTAAATGAAAATTTTCTCATGACGTACAACACATCTTTTAGCAAAACAATGATGCTTTAACTGCAATCAGCAGAAAAACAGAAAGCAAAGCATCCTGACTCAGATAGACCAACAGAGGATAACAAAATTCGGACAGACAGATCTAAACTCGCTCACCTCAAAGCTTGACTCCATGGCTCTACCGCTTACCTTGAGTGGCAAAATAGTTAAGAGCCATCCTAGAAAATCGACTTAGAGTGAAAAATATTTGAAATATGGCTCGACACTTTACAATTCCTTCCCTTATTATTCTTGCAGTTCGAGCCAACACTGGCCCTGATACCTCAGTTTTCTGATTGCTTACCACCTGCACCGAAGCTGATCAAGTAAAAATAAAGTAAAATTCATTGGTATCCATTTGAGAGGTCTTAGCAAATTTACTTAAAGAGCAATAAATGCATGGATAACCTGATGAAGCAATGTCTGTTAACCCACGCAATCTCTCCTCAGCTAAGCGAACGGCTCTAGTTGGGCTTCTAACACCTTGAGTAATCTCTTGCCTGTAAAACAAACAAACAATTGGTTACTATGACTTCAAGATAGCACTGAATATTATTTTTTGTTATATCAATCAAAATGGGAGAAAATATACTGAATAAAAGCAGGAAAGGGAAAAGGAAAGGGAAAGGGAAGAGAGAATAGATATGAGAGTCTTCAATCGATCAAGTAAAATACTAACCCCAAATCACTAAGCTCCATTGTTAAGTCGCTAATCTCCATGCCTGATAACCGAACCGCAGCCATAGTATCAGGAAACTCTTCCCTGGTGACATCCATCAACTTCTCTAGTGACTCTGCTGACCCCTTGATTGCAGAGAAAAAGAGCCAAGCTGCTGAAACTGCCACCTAGAAAATGTTTGTGAATTTGTCAGAAGCATAACATAATGTCACCTCAAAACAGAACTTGCTGACTGTTTGATTAAGAGAGTGAGAAAGAACACTCCGCAAAAACATTTGAACTAAAAAATTTTCAAAAGCATAAGCTGTTCAAAACCTAAGTACCTTGCCTGTAAATTCCTCTCATGGATTATGGAACCAATAAGAAACAAAAATATAGGAAAATGCTAATTGTTACAGAAGAGAAATTTATTTGGAATCCCAGCATGGTGATCTTTGTTATAAGGCATCAATGGGACCTGATTCTTGCTTTAGATAGACCACATTAGTAATGATGCTGCAAGGATGTTGGCAAAGGATTTGAACGTGACTGCATTTATATGCAAAACCATGTTTCCAAATCCTAGAGATTTTCAAGCATGTTTAAAAGGATGAAAAACTTCTCAATTACTCGTACACTTAAGTGCTCTATATTTGGAGCAACCAAAGAACTTAAGGAGCTTCAGCAAGAACTAGAATGACCTTCCGGAAAGCATTTTGGGACAACCGAAATATTAATTTCTCTCTATCGTCTTTCAAGTTGAGTTCATTATGGAGTTGAAGTCTTTTATCAGGAGTTTAAAGGGCATTAACAAGATACACTATATAGTCACATTGATATCTAGAATGGTTATTTTGCACATAGAATGGAACTAAAATTCATTTCTTTTGTTTCTTTTTTTCATTGGGAGAGGAGGGATTCTAACTCGGAACATATCATTGACACAAATGCTGGAATGCTGAATTCATTTGTATATGACTAGCAAAATTCATGAGGTTTTTTTTTTTTTTTTTCTTTAACCGAATGATGCTGTCAAATGCTGATTTAAATTTGCATTAATTTTTGTTACAACTTTGTTAACTAATTACAAGTACATTTCAATTTCATTCACAAAATCGGTGCGAATTTTCCACAAAATTAAGGGAATAAAAATAGAAATAATTAAGGAGAACTGATAGCGCAAGCGATGACATTGAGCAAGTGGATGTGGCGGCTGGTGAGGGTCCATTGAGGGAGCTGGAGAGGGGAGGATCCAATGAAGGGGATATAATGAGTAGAAACCAATGACGATGATGTTGAACCATACTCTGATCGGACGTAAAGAGAAGCGACGCGGCAGAGCGAAAGGCGGAGATTATGAGACCGACGCTGCGGGCGGATATTAGTAAGAAACGCACGATTGATGGATTCAAGACAGAGGTCAACTGTCTATAATTTCAGCTTAATAAACAGTGTTTCTAATTAATGTACGGTGTTTTCAAGTTTGAATTTCACTTCATTTTTAATGGTTTAAAAAGAAACGTTTTTTCTGATAGTATATTTTTTATGATTTTATGTTTGAACCTGATAAAAAAAAGGAAATGGAGGGTTTTTTTTTTTTTATATTTATTTGAGGTTTATAAAATTATTGCTTTTTTATTTAAATGATATAATATTATCAACTTTTGATATATTTAAATATTTTGAACTTAAAATGAAATATAACTACTTTCTAACTTGAAATAAATTAAATTTTTTAAAAAACTAAAATACATATTTTATAAAATTTTAATATTAAATTTCATAATAATTTATTTATATATATATTAATATTAATTTACTCAAATAAAATTAAAAATGACATTTTTTATTTTTCAACATCATATTTATTTTAGACATTTTAATTTTTTATGCTATTTTTGCTGACCCGTCAACCACTTCAAAATCTCAAATGCACTTATTTTAAATCCAATTTTTTTCAATCACAAAAAATAATGTTAAATTAAACCAAATTATGAGATATGAGAATTGGTAGGGTAATCTTTTTTTTTTTCAACCCTCTTTGCAATGCTCTCAGATAGTTTGATCAAAAGAGTAAATTTGGAAAAACTCCATGTAGACCAACATTTTAAATTTTACTGAACCTGAATGAATGAAATTAAGCTAATAAATAATTATAGACATGTTAATAATATGAATAGTATCTTTGGATTCTTTGTTCAGTTGTTGAACTACTCTCAGACTAGGAATCCAGACCCAAACACTTGAGAAATGCAAGCTTAGCAAGCCTGAGATAGTGACAAGGATGATAACAATTTTGATTTGCTTCCTTTGATGAACATCTCTCCTTTTCTACACTGTCTTCTCCTCCTCTTACTATACTTCTGCTTGTTCCTATGGCTATCTCACCCTTTATACTCTGGTTTTCTCCAACCTGCCAATACCCAATATCCATTATTAAACGCTATCCACACTCATATGTGCTTTTTTTAAATAAAAAATTAACAATTCATGTTAAAACCCACAACTGATTTGGCTTCCAAATTAATAATAGTTAAGATAGGGATGGAGATTCATTATGTGAAGTGAACAGAAATGTAACAATGGATAGTTTACATAAGAAAGGAAAAAAGCTAACAATAAGAGTTACAATTCTCCGTTTTAACCGGCTAAAACTTTTTTTTAACAAAGGAAGCTGAACCCTAGGATAGGGGAAGAAGTTATAAATGTTGGGATTTGAATTCCAGACCTTTTTAGTAACACCTCTTAAGAATGGAGACATGAACCAACTAAGCCGAGGTTCAGCTTCACCAAACTTGAAAGAAATATTAAAACTAACTAATGCAATTCTCTCAAATTCTATAGTTTCCATTGCTTTAAAATTATTTTGCTTCTCACCTCACCCATTTTTTTTTCTAGTCTAAAACAATAATAAACCCAAAAGAGAAAAAAGAAAAAGAAAATATAACTTCAAATCAAATCTTTCTTCTCATTCTCTTACAAACTTTTTCCTATTCATCCAAGCACAATACCTAGGAATAATCAGAAGATCAACAAGGTATATATATTCATCATTTTCAATAGTTTCTCCGCCCAAGTTTCGGCAATTTTTCATTATGGGTTGGCAAATAAACAGAAACACAGGGAAGAAATTAAGTACAGCCAACATATTGAAATTGCAAAGTGAGTTTTCAAACAAGTTAGACCGAAAGTATAACAAGTTTGACGCTAACCATACGACTTGAACAAATAAAAACGAGTTAAAATTAAAAGAAAAAAAAAAGAAGAAGAAATTAGAGACAAGGGAGCCTCAACTGGAACAGTGAAAAAAATCAACTATACTCACTCCTCTCTCTCCTCTCTTTAAAAGGGATTAAAAATGTGCCTCCAAAGTAAATCTAAATAATGCTTACGAAAAGGACAAATTTCTGAAGGTAGGGTGAATGAATTATTAGTATAATTTAATAATAAGAACAGCATTAAGATATTTTATGCAATGCATCTTCGTTTATTTATTGTATAAAACAAAGTAGCTTTCACTTCAAACAGACAAGAAAATGAATATTCAATTGAAGAAGGAATTCCAGCCTTACGTCGACAGGCTATGACAAAAAAAATACAAGTGCGTATCATATTCGTTTATGGGAGATAATATTAATTATCATCCATCTATAAGCATAAAACAATTCATCTATAAGTAATTATATGAACTTAAAAAGAGTAAATTTTGGTTTTCCTATTCACAGGGCCCAAGCTCTGGTAAACAGTTGATCAGTCTAAAACATAGACCAAATTTCATTAGGCAACTAATCTTGAAAAAATAGTAGTCCTACTACACATTTAGCCTTATTAAAAACAGCAGGCAATGCAATTAGGTTCATTAATTAGGCAGCAAATCTTGAAAAATACTAGTACTACTCAATTAGCCTCATTTTGTTTTTGGTACAAGGGAGGCCCAAGCCTAAGGATAGAAGAAGGGGAATCGCAAGTGCTAGAAATTGAAACTCAGCCCTGCAATAATTCAACTCTTAAAAAAAATGAAAGCCATTTGAGCTAAACCCATGTTTCAATTAGCCTCATTAATAAGTTTTCTTTTTTTTCTCAATTAACATCATTAAAAACAGCAGGCACAGCAATTATGTTCAGTGGATAAAAAAGGGCATAGGAGTGAAGAAGAAAAACGTCTTCCTTCTTTACAAAATCTCCTCACCAATTAGAAATTATTGTGTGCTATAACATTAACTTAAAAAAGAAAAGAAAATTAGCTGTATCCTTTTACCATAGAAAAAAAAGGTAATACCAAGCTTCCAAGTTTTGATTTTAAAGAAGCATAAAGTGAAAAGAAATTTTGTTTCCTTTCGCTGGGGGAGATTGGGTTTTGTGGCAGAACTTCCTTCGTGTTCAAATAAAGTCAGAACTAATGTAAACGTTTTAGGGTTGCGTTTGGTACGCCAACTACTACTATGAAAAGACATTCCTTCTTAGAAACGGTTTACCATTTCACTGTTTTACTAAAAAAAAAGGGGGGGTTCAATAATGTTCACATGATTTCCAAAATCCACTGTATACTAATATAATATAAAAAAAAAAAGTTGATCCCAAACTATTGAAGAAATTAGCAAGAAATTCCAGTTTCTGAACCATTTCCAGCCTTTGGCTTTCTAAAAGCTATCCAATCTATAAAAAAAATATATAAATTTTAGTTGCTAAAGTTTCTTTGGACTTGGTTTTCCAGGTGAAGAAAATATTAACCCGAAATAAGCCAACGGTAAGACCCAATTGAATAGAAAAACGTTGGGGGGAGATAAGTAGATTAAAGAGACAAGAAAATGGAAAGGCAGGGGGAAGTGGACATACCTGGGAAACCTGGAAGCAAGTGGAGACAAGTCTTGTATTATGCTTGAAACAGGAGTTTTATCCAAGTTAGGGGGAGATAAGTAGATTAAAGAGACAAGAAAATGGAAAGGCAGGGAGAAGGAGAAGTGGCCATACCTGGGAAGCCTGGAAGCAAGTGGAGACAAGTCTTGTATTATGCTTGAAAACAGGGGTTTTATCTAAGTGGGATTCAGAGCAAACGGAAGCAGAAGCGGAGTCGGGGAGATCCAAAGCGAAGAGGCTGAAGCCATAGAGAAGAAGCATGAGAAGGAACATGACAAGTATTTGGATCCATATTAGCCATGGAATTCTGTAGCTTTCAATTGTTAGTTCATCTCCAAAATCAAACATATTTTGTTTTCTTTCTCTGGTCAAATATATATCAAAATTTAGAGGGAAATATAATTGAAGGGAAGAAGGGTAAGTGAGGAGGGATGGGAGAGCTGAAGAAAGAAAGGGGGTATGGTGGGTTAAAAATCGAAAGGTGAAATAAAAGGATCTGTAGCTTTTTACATGGTTGATTAATGGCAGCCAATTTTTTTTTTTAAATTTTATTATGTAGGCTGAAGCTGACTAATAAAGAAATTATATGGAAAATGCTAAGGACCACGCGCCCATTAGTTTGCGTGGTCCAGTTGCAGAGATGTTGAGAATGTTAAATGCTTAAAGACTAAACATTTGACTATTACTCAACCTATAATTAAATATTTTATTTTATACAAAAAAAATTAAATATTATTGGCTTGTAATAATTTAGGCTCTCTTTAAATAAAAAAATTTGGGTGAAATGCACATATGATAATGTAGTGTCAAGAACTTAATGTCAAGCTAACGTCTCTTTTTTTTTTTGTGAATTATTTATTCAGGTGGCTTAAATGGTCTCTACAGTCATTTTCTTCCTGCTTTTCTCTCTCTACCATTTTTCTCTCTTTCTCTCACATCAACTTTCTCTTGTTTTTCAAATCTAATTCTTTCAAAAACTATCAAATGTGAAATTTGAATAGTCTATCTTTTTATTATAGATGATTACCCCAATAAATTAATTAGTTTTTGAAAAAAAAAATAGAGATTTTATGTTAGAGAAATTTTGATTTTGAAAAAAAAAAAAAACTCTTAGTTCACTTTCTCATAGTTCTCAGTCAAACAATTAAACCAAAAAAAAAAAAAATTAACTACTTCATATAATTTGCAAAAAAAATTAAGAATTTCTCTATTTAATGTTTCCTTACCAAATTGTTTAAAGTAAAATTTCTCTCGCTAATTCTTTTTTTTTTTTTTTGACATTTACCTTAAATATTTGCTAGATATTTGGATGAAATCTCTACTAGACAGAGAACATTAAAAAGCAAGGAAGGTGGCAAAGTTATGTGGTATTCTATTGGTCATCTCCTTAGTTACAGAGATTTCATGGGTTGAAAGTTTGTAAAAAGTTAACCTATAAAGCTTGAGACCAAATAAAAGATAATTGTTGATATTCAATTCTACTTTCATAAGACAATCAATGGTAATTGGTATGAATCCAAATTCCCTTATGATAGTTGAAGCCTCTGATAGTTAAAAATCTCTTACTCTAGTTTTGTTAATGGCGAATGATCATTGACTGAGTTATAATCCAAACTCCAAGTTGAAGAACTCATATTTGAAACTTAAAAGGCATTCGGGTTTAGGAAATGATTTGCTAAATTTTTTCCAAACTCAAAATTTGCTAACCCTAAATGTCATAGAGAAAATAAAGAAAATAAACTTTTGAAAGGGAAAGAAAGGAAGAAAGAGGAAGTTTTTTTATAAAACTAATATAAATTATCTTAAATTACATGTATGCATGTGTGTTGGCAGTCATATTGACACATATAATTGCCATCTGTCATCGTTAATTAATATAATTGTGCGTGTTATTTATTCTCGTTAAAAGATCCTAATTTGAGCAAATTTGAAAATATTTGGTTTTAAATTGTATCAAATAAAACGTTTGATTCTTAATTGAGAATTACTCGAAAGTTAAATCTTAAATTAAGTATTTAATCTACTGAAAAAATGTTATTTTTTCAAAGGGTGTGTTTAACAAAAACTAGATTCCCGGTAGCCAAAAGAAAAAAAAATCTTGATCTTTTTTATTGTTTTATTTATTATTTACATTTTTATCAACGTTTTTTTTTGCCAAAAATATATTTCCTTTGTTTCATAAATAAAAAAAAAAAGTTATATTAATTGAATATATCACCTACAATTATTATAATATAATTAATTAATTA